GTATATTAGGGTTTAGGGTTTAGGGTTTAGGGTTTATAATCCTCACAGTTGAATGAAAGAGAAATCGATTCAACTTGTTTGTAGTTTTGTGCTGCATCTGCATTAACAAATCCTCTTTCTAAACCCTAAACCCTAAACCCTAAACCACAAATTAGGGTTTAGGGTTTAGGGTTTAGGGTTTATCCTTGAACAGAGTGAAACCGACTCATCTTGTCTGTTGGTTTATGCTGTATCTACATTAACAAATCCTCCCCCTAAACCCTAAACCCTAAATTAGGGTTTAGGGTTTAGGGTTTATTATCATTGGAATTCTTCACAACTGAATGAACCCCATGATATGGATCTCAGCTCTAGGGTTTAGGGTTTAGGGTTTACCCTAAACCCTAAACCCTAAACGAAACGCTGTGCTGCATCTGCATTTACAAATCCTCCCCCTAAACCCTAAACCCTAAATTAGGGTTTAGGGTTTAGGGTTTATTATTCTTGGAATGAACAGATCGAGATACACTCAACTTGTCTAAAGTTCTGTGCTGCATCAGCATGAACAAATCCTCCCCCTAAACCCTAAACCCTAAATTAGGGTTTAGGGTTTAGGGTTTTTCACTCTTAGAATTCTTCATAGTTGAATGAACACAGAGAAATAGATTCAACTTGTCTGTAGTTTTGTGTTGCATCTGCATGGACAAATCCTCCCCCTAAACCCTAAACCCCAAATTAGGGTTTAGGGTTTAGGGTTTAGGGTTTTACTCTTGGAATTCTTCATAGTTAAAGGAGCAAAGAGAGATAGATTCAACTTGTCCATAGTTTTGTGCTGCATCTGCATGAACAAATCCTCCCCCCTCCCCCCTTCCCCCAAACCCTAAACCCTAAATTAGGGTTTAGGGTTTAGGGTTTAGGGTTTATATTATTCTTGGAACTCTTCATAGTTAAAGGAGCAAAGAGAAATAGATTCAACTTGTCTATAGTTTTGTGCTGCATCTGCATGCACGAATCCTTTCCCCTGTCCCCTCCCCC